TTGTTGATTGTTGAAGAATGGAAATCCTTGCTTGCTGTTTACTTTCTTGAAGGGGAGGGGAGGGAAACCTAAGTTTATATATTTTATTTTCAATTGTTATTGTTATGATCTGTGAGTCTAACTTTGTGTTTTTCGCGTTTAAGGAGAGATATGAGGAACACAAGAGACATTGTGTTTTAGAGAAAATCTCTCTAAATTTGTTCATTGCGGCATGTACAAAAGTCTAAATGATGATCAATCAAATCTTAGCCTCATGGAAAATTGGAATATAAGTAATAGTTGCAATTACAACAGGGAGAAAGATCGTACCTTTATTTCTTTATTCCGGGGGTAAGTCTTGGACTTTAGGAAATCGTGTTATTTATTATTATTGCAAAATCCTTGACCGCTTAAGGGTAGTGTATGTAACACGAATTCATTACGATAATGTTTTAGTTGTCATGTTCGTTAACACGAGTTATCATGGCATTGATATCGTAATGCCTTCCTAGTATATTGTAGAATGATAACAGACGATCTGGGTGAAATTTTGATGTATCAAGAGGTGTTATAATGAAGAGCTGTGCTGGAAACCCCTTCTAAACTAGTTTCAAAATTTTGAAGGGTTCTAAGCTCTAATTAAACTTGTTTCAAAGAGTTTCGAAACTTTAAACCTAATTTTTGAGTTCCAAAAGGCAATCAAATAATCCTAATACAAATAATAAATGATATACTGATTATGAAAGATGAAAAGATTTGAGAAATTCTATTAGACAAACCTTTGTTGATCATCCACAATGTAAATTTTTTCTTGGCCTTGAGATCATTCTTACAGCAAATACACACGTATTGAAATGTTTTTCTTTTATCATTTAAACAAAGCTCACATGTATCTGGTATGAAATTGCTTTATCATAAAAAGCATTTTTGCAATTTCTATCATCGATTATTGTTAGTTAATATAATACAGCAAGGATTTTATCAAATGACATAATAAAAAATGAACTTCTACAATTATATAAATAATTATGGTAAAAGTAAGTTAAAAATAAATAGTGAAGACGTATTGAAATCTTTTCAAATAACTGATATAGTGGATATAGAAAAATTGTTACTAATTATAAGTAGAAAAAAGAAATAGAAAATATTGACAAACTGAAGGAAAAGAAAAGATTAAAAAAGAATATGAAAATCATAGTTGAAATAGTTTAAAATACTAGAAGCCAGCTGATGAAGAAATAGGAACAGATAAAAATGATTGAAAAGAAGAACTTATTTAATCAGTTGAGAAATAGGGAGGAGGCAACACAATAATTAAAATCACTGAAGACTGAATAAGCTGAAGAAGCAATGTTAGAAGCTAAAACTCATTTGAAAGCCCTGGAAGTAGCCCAAGAGTGAAGAGAATGACAATTAGCTGAGAAATTAAAGTAATTAGGGATAGCTAAATAAATAAACAAGTCCAATAAGTCTTTACCAGCATTACTAAGAAAAAAGAACAAATCATGGAAAATTCAACCCAAGGAAGCCAAACCGATTCTTTTTTATCAAATCTCTAATCTTTAAAAGATAACGTATACACGCTCATCTATATTATTTAATGCTAGTAGTTCTTTATAGTGTGAGGTCGCAATAATACCTTTAATTGTTTTAGTTTTTGTTTAAGTTTTGATTAAAGTTTTTAAACGTTAACAGTTGTCACTGATTAACCACCTATATAAAGAGCCAACAGTTATTGACCAAAGTACAAAAGTATAAGGCTGTCGGTAATGAAACGGCCAACGTTATTATTTTTATTTTATTATTGTATAGTAACATTAAACACACGGCTGTTAAACGGACTGCTGAAGGTATCTTTAAATAAAGCCTGCAATCTGAAATAAATCGATACTCAAATTACATAAAATAGGAACTTTATAGTGACCTTTGTCGCCACATAGAAAGACTGCCTTCTTTTATTTCTTGTTATTCGTCGTACTATAAATTGTGCTTGCAGATTCGCCAAAGCTTTCTAGGTACAAGAAAGAGGAAGTAAGCAAGAGAGTTGTTCAATAAGCTCATAATATAATTAATTAACGGGCATAAAGTACGAAGAGCCTGCAATTAATCGACGAGTGTAGCTAAAAGGTTGATTCGAAATTCGACTATATAAATGAAATAATCGAAGATAACTGAAAGCCATCTCTTTATGGTTTTGTGTTAATATTCTTTTATTGGTTATTCTTCTTGGTGAACTTTATAGATAATTTCTCTTTCATTAGATAATCTTCAAAGCATCCAATGTCAGTTAATAATAATAAGGAACAAGCTTTTCCACTTGTACTTTTTTTTAAAACGGACCTGATGTAGACTAATTTCATATCAATTATTTTTTATATGAGGAAGGTAGTTAGTTGTCTTATAATAAGTACTTATATTGGTAATACAATTATGATTTATTTGATCCCTGAAACTTCTTTGTTCGCTTTGTTTGTTGCATACAATAATAATTATAAAACTTGTGAGAGCATAATCATACTTTTAAATGGTTCACATTTTGATAAATTTCATCTTTTTCTGCTATCAATTTACATGAATAATTAATATTATTATTACTCTCATTAAAGATACTAAACCTGATAGTCCATGTTGATGGCTATTTTGAGAACTAATAGTTTTTTTTTGACTAATGAAAAAAATAATCTTTTCCGATTTCTCTTTCAGAATTAACCATTGCCTCATTATGCATTTCATTAGAAATTTCATATATGAATTCCCTTCTTTCTGGCGATAATAATTTATTGGATGACGTTATATAAATATAAATTTAACTTTGCAATTACCACACATTATTTCCTTTTTCTATGAGAACCGAATGGCGTGTAATAAACAATAGTTCATTTAATTACTTTTAAAATTTCCCTGAGATTGATTGTCAATTGATAAATAATTATCTATTACTATTACTGTCATCATGGCGCCTTTTTCACGTTAATAAATTATCAATACAAATCTTGAAGTAAAAATTGCAACTTTAACATCCATCATCAAACTTTAGTGATTGATTCATCATGATTCAACAATAAAGAGTTTTAGCATTCTTCTTTTTCTTCGCTTATTATTTTTATCACTTTTAAAACTTCAAAATTAAACTTACAAACACCTGCACCTAAATCTATCTCGTGTACTACGTAACAATTGTTCTGCGCGTACTAATATTGACCAGCCCTGTGCGTGTTTCAAACTCGGGCACTAAAGACAGCTCAAACACATTAATATTACTATTACACGTAGTTAACTTCAAAGTCAAATTCGAAAAAAATCAAGTTAACACAATTCGTATGTATGTAAAGGTTGTTCTACATACCAATATTGACCTGTCTATGTGTGTTTCAAAGGAAAGAGCTAAAGGCAATTCGAATGCGTTTTGATTTTTTTCATTTCATAATAAAAGAAGAATATTAGTAATAGTTTTAATTATATGCATTTTTATTTTGAAAGAAAATAAACGGAAAAAATAAGTACTGTATATACTATTTTTCATACAATTCAAACTATAACATTTGTAAAACTTCCCATGAGAATTATTCTTCTTGCATCATTACAATATACATACAATGATAATATTTCTTTATCCATCTCCGGGACACACACTCTTTTACAATGGAACCTTTGGTAATCCTATTTTATCATTATCATTGTTGTTGTCAATATTTGAGGTTCGAAATATCATCAATAGGAGAAAATCAGGATTCCAAATTAGATGATTTGATGATGAACAAGGAGGGAGTGGCTACTATTATTATTATTTGCACTAGGTTCATGTCCTTCGAGATAATCCTTTCCCAAAGAGACTGTTTAGTTTTGCTGTTATGCAACTGGTAGTTTATACTTCTAATTCAATTCATTTATATTAATTCATGTGCTTGTTTATATAAAATTCGCATTCTTTTAATTAATATAATGTAATTTTATTTTGACTAAATATTTGGAATGCATATCTAAATGGGATTAAAAAGTAGATAGAGTCTATATAAAGGAAGCAAAATAATAATTTTCAACCAAATAACATTACCATATTCGCCATAAAAATTGGAGTCTTGTTCAATGAAATTATTAAAGCGCTTGCTACATATAGTGAGTGGCCTTATATATTTTTCGTAACCAGATGAACCTCTGTACAAATCATTGACAATGTTGCTAAGTACATTGTGATGAATATTGAGAAAATCATTTTCTGTAGTTTGAAGACGGGTCACATTTCTTAGGGAATATGTACACAGTGAGTCTCGGTATAGCGGATAATTTGGGCAATTAGAACAAAAATTTCAAAAATCCGTTATACCGAGATTAATTCAAGATTTAATTAGTAAATCCGTTAAACCGAGAGAATTTACTTATAGACGGTTCTGAGCTTTGATCCGTTAAACCGAGAGTTTTATTAGACATCCGCTATACCGAGGTCCGCTATACCGAGACTTACTGTGTATACTGTTATTAATTGAGAAAAGATAATTGTAAGCGTTTAATGTTTTCCTCCGTTAGTGGATGGATCCTTTGTTTCAACCATTGACCAAAATTCCTTAGATATTGTTATCGTCGTCGTCGTTATTGTCATTTTATAAATGATTAATTATTTCATGAATTTTAACTAATCTGTACTATCTTTACTTTTTTTTGTTTTTTTTTTTTTTTTTTTTTTAAAGAAATTAGAAAATATTTGAATAAAAATTTGAATTTATATATATTAATATGATTAATGTACGCATCTTTTTCAAGAACCTATCGGTGCTACTGCCGCTCGAGAAGTAGATGTAGGATAATTAATTAATGGAGTGTCTTTTATTCGAATATACTAATGTTAGATTGATGAATTAATTATATTAGGGCCAGAACAAAATAAACACGATAATAAAGATAATAGAGAATGTGAAAGAGATTGGTTTCTGAACTATTACATACGGTACACCCGTGATTTTTGCTACTGATCTAAAAAAAAATTTTTTTTGTGTGGTGACACACAATTTTTTATTAGATTCGAAATGTCAAAATTACAAAATGAAGAAGAAATCATTCTGACACAGCTTTTGGATCAAAAAATAACAGGAACACCTAAAGAATTTTATGAAAAATTCACGACTTTTGTGAATCAAAAGCATCATGAAGCCTTGTGTAATTATTTAAAAATGTGCGGATTAAATAATAAGGAAACAAAAGAATACATAAAGCGTCATACAAATTTTGCTAAAACAAACAGTCACAATGTTATTAGAAAAGAAGACATTAACTCTCAAAATAAATCAAAATATTTGATGCCTGAGACAAAAAGTTCAAAGATCAATTCAATACTATCAAAGTATTTTGAGGAAAGGCTAAAAGAACTTGAAGAGGTAAATGTTAAAATAACCAAATTTCCTTTATATTTTATTGTAAAAATTTTAAAAATTTTGTTACTTATTTAAATTATTTGATTGATGTTCAGAATCAACTCAACGTAAGACCTGAAATTTCACATAACTTTATTTTAAAAATCGTAAATCATTGTTTTTCAAATACGCATGATGGTAAACCTCAAATGGAGCTTTGGGTGCCTTCTGTAATCCAATATCTATTTGATAATCAAATGTTGGCTAATAATATTATTGAAGGTGGACTAATTAAAGGGTTGATGGAAAGAAATGCTTGGGTAGGTATCGTGTGTGTGTATATATCTATATATCTGTGTATTGTTTTTAATTTTGGATTTTCTAATTTAATAAGAAAAATTTTTATACAATTAATTTAAAGGGACTTTTAGAAATTGCATTGACCAAATTAAACGATATTTCAGAATTGGAACTAGTAAATTTCTTAAAGTATTTAATTTCATCCTCTAGAACATCAGAACCATCAACAATGTTTAAAAAAACAAAATTACCAAAATTTCTTTCTTTAATTATTTCCGCACCAAGAAATGATTATTTAATGAGAAATCATTTGAGAACATTGGATGAAGAAGAACTAACGATAATCTTACAGATATTATGTCATTGGATTGAAACATACAATAAATCAACAATTTTTACAAAAAATACAGATGATGTTGAAAATGGTAGGAATGAATCTGACAAGTCTTTAAAGTTAAATAAAATCCCAGAAATTATCCATGTAAGTTATTTTTTTTTTTTTTGCTATTTATTATTCAATCCCCAAAAAAATAATAAAATAAATTAATATTACATTAAATTTAAATATAGATTACAAATTTTTTATCAATACTATTTGATATGCATTTAAATTCATTGATTATATCAAACAATTTTCATTCAATATTATCACAATTAAATACTCTTGTCACAAAGGAATTGGACTTTTTCATGGCAATGGAATCTTTACTTCCATGTCTTGAATCATATCATAAAGAATATTTAGAATATGAGAATAGAAGAAAGCAAATAATATCAAATGATGAATATAATAAAGCAAAAGCCTCCTTTAATAATGATGAATGTATATCAGATTATTCTGTGGAAGTTTTTACATTTTTATGATATTAATAATAAAAAGTTTTCTTAAATTATTTATATTTATATCAAATAGACAAAATGTTTATGAGAGCAAAAGAATTACTAGCATCCCTCTTTTGAAAATAATTTTCAAAAAATAAGTTAAAACAATAATGTAATAATAATTAAATAAAATAATCTATTTCTTTTAATTTTATAAATCTAAAGGTAAATTCTCATACCGCCATGTTTTTAAAGTTCTGTCATCACTACAACTAACAAATAAACTTTGTTTAGAATTCCAAATGGCATTATGAACTGTGCATTTAACTTTGTAGTACTCCAAATATATATTTATATTTAAAAAAATTATAATTAATTTTGATTTTTATTTTCTGATCCCCAACAATCAATGAATTATTAAAAAAGCCTGATTTAATGAAATTTTTTGAAGTGTTTGATGACCTTTTAAATCTTTTGATAGGTCGAGTCTTTATTAAAAATCAGGATACATAAAATTACTACATTTATTAAAATTATAATTAATATTTATTCATTTATACAATACCATTCTAACTATACATAAAGCCAAGATTATTTCGACCATTTGCAGATCTGGTTGAAATAAGGTCGAAACTAATTTTTACTATGTAGTTGCCTCAAGTCAAAACATTTCAACTTTGGGTTTTAGTTTCAACTTCATGTATAATTCTAACATCCCATAATCTATTGTTGTCTTTTGAAATGCTTAGTAGTAAAGTTCTTTTGGCATTCATTTCAATCAAAGTTACTACCCAAACATGAAGAAATTATCCTTATACACAATCCTGATGTAATATCCAGATTTTTATTATACTATCCTTTAGTCTATAAAGTATAATGAATAATCAAAAAATCTGATGATGATATTATTTATAAAAAATTTAAAAACCTCTTACCCACTACAAAGGATTAAATATTATTTGGGTTGAATACAGATTGATGTCCTGTAAACATTTTTACATCAAAAAATCTTATATTTTATCATATCCACATATGATTCTTTCGAAATTAAAATAATAATCAGTTAAATATATTTATTATAAATAAATAATTTTACTTCTCTGAGATGAATTTACAGTATAAACATCTCCAGAATTTTCAGTTAGCATTGAGGTACATGTATACTTATTTGTTTTCATATCCCACAACTAACAATAATTAATTAATAACACTGTCCTTAACCTTGTCCTTGTCCTTGTCATAGTCTTCAAATTTATATTTTTGTAATAATAATAAATCTATCTCTAACAATGAATTCATGCTAATCCCAAGCATAATAAATTTTCCTTATTTTATATTTGTCTATTATTTTTATTATTTTTTATTTCTTTTCTTTTTTTTTAGTGGGGTAATATTTAATGAATTTTATTTAGTAGCTTTTGGATGCATACCTGACTTGATAGTAAAGAGGAAAACAGCTAGAAGGACACCCACTAAGAAATGTGACCGGGATATATAGTGCAAAACCTAAAGATATTGTTTAGTACTTCTTAATATAAGGAATTGTTTAATGATGGTGAAGGATAGTTTTGAGAGTAAAGCATAAATATACATTTGCAGAAATAGAAATTGTTGTTACAATTTAGTATAAATAAATTGGAAGAAATTGTATTAACATTGTTGGCATATTATTATAAATAAAATATTGAGATTTACTATGAGATGCTGATTTTTATCTCACAATGATCATTTTTATTATTATTATTTATAGTGTTTATAGATGATAAGAATGTTAAAACAGTATTGTGAGATTGTAAATGAGGACTGAGGAAGTCCCCGAGTATGTCGATCAATCGGAACTAACTTACTGCGGCAGCCACGTGATAATGATATCATTTTCTATTTTTGGAAAATTTTATATAACATATAAAAATCACATGCTTTTTAAAAACTAATAACTCCATAACCAATTTTTTTTAAATTATCTAGACAATAGATTGTAGAACTAGTCAAAAGCTATCAATTTTTTTAAGACAAACACTTTATATTTCCTTATTAGGTTTCAAATTTGATCAATATTAATTATGCCACCAAAAAAAAAAAAATTCTTAAAGAAACTAGACTTGCAAGAAATCAAAAAACAATTTATTTATTCAAAATACTTCTCATGTGATTTTTCACCAGAAACTGATGGTGATAAGATTATCTTTGGGTCTGATTATGATGAGATTGAAAATATGAACTTTCTGATAGCAATTCTGATGATGACAATTGGCATAGTGAGGCACTGGATAATGTGACTGAAAATTTAGATGCATAAATTTTTGAAGTCATGATACATAATGTTAATAAAAAAGATTTTTCTACTTCTAATCATCCATTGGTGCACATTGGAAATTCTGAAAGAACTACTTATTGCAAAAAGACACGAAATTGAAAGGATGCTGCAAATTCTATGAAATTAACAAGTTTCTTTGAAAAACAAAATCTTGATTAATTGGAAAATAATAATATTGCAAGTAATGATATATGATAATATTAATGAGAATGACAAAAATATATATGAAGAAGCATTAATTAATTTGAATCTAATTGTTAATGATAAAAAATTGCCAAATGACATTTAAAATGAACTTCTATTATTAGTAATCTTAAATTAGCAGGAAAAAGGCCATAGAAGCAAGTTTATTGCTTTCTAATAGTTTAGAATATCATGCTCATCTAATTCGCAATTGGTCAAAGAAATTTCTTAATTTTTGTTTCTTCTCAAATAAAAACTAAGTCACTTCTTTGGCATGAGGACATAAATAAAAAATTAAAAGAATATCTATTAGAACAACAAGTAATGTTTCAGTAAAGAATATATTGAAAATGAGGTTGTTCCAGAAATTGGAATTGAAGAAAAAAAAATCAGGTAAAAACTGCCCAAGTTTGGTTGAAAAGCTTGGTTGGTATCATCAAAAACATCGCAAAGATATCTATTATGATAGGCATGAGAGAGAAGATGTGATTAAATATCAAGAATTTTCTCTCTCTCAAATGCAAGAGTATGAAAAACTGATTCCAAACCAAGTGAAAGTAATATCCTGTATATTATAGAGCTGTTATTAAATCAAGATAAAAAAAGATATGTACTCATTATGCATGATGAATGTGTATTTATGCTAATGATGAGAAAAAGACATTATGGGACCTCCAAGACATGTGCCATTGAGGAAGAAAGGAATGGGATTGAGACTTCATGTCAGTGATTTTCTAACAGAAATTGATGGAAGATTGAAATTTTGAGAGTGAAGTAATAATGAAAACTGGAGCTAATTGTGAAGGATGGTGGACCTCTGAACATTTAGTTAAGCAGGTAAATCAATCAAAGAGAATTGATTTTTATTTTTATTTTAAAAAAATTAATTACCAATTAATCTATAGATCATTGAAAAGGCTATTCTGATTTTTGAAAAACTTCATCCTAGTTCAATTGGGCTCTTTGCATTTGATAATATCAGATGGAACAAGACAAAAAGTGCACTTACCTTATGGCTGACCAAAAGGAATTGAATTGGTTCTTGAAGAAAGAAATTTATGGCCATCAACAAAATTAGTTCAAATTTGTGCTGCCTACAAAAAACATTTACCAATCCAAGATTCATGTTGTGCAGTACAAATCCTTGAACTTCAACCTGACTTTGTTAACCAAAAATCTTTAACTGAAGAAACTATTGAATCTTGGTCATAAAGTCATTTTTTACCCAAGTTCCACTGTGAACTTAATTTTATTAAATTATTTTCGGGATGCAGCAAAACAATATACCCATGAAAACTGTGATCATACCTTTAAGTCATTAGAAAAAACTGTTCCTTTGACATTAAATTCTGTTTCTCTCAAAAAATTCAAAAGTTTGCTCACAGGACGGTAAACCTTTTATGATCAATTGTATCATACAAATATTTCTACTAACCTTTTGAGTTCCTGATGTTCCATATATTGTTGTTTGTATAATTTTCACTAAAGGTTTTGCACCAGTTTTTTACTTCAACCCAATCGCCATCTATTGATTTTTTGACGTAGAATTAGTTTTATAAGCTAGTCTACATATATTTTGCATAAGATTTATCTTGCTAATGTAGAAACATGCAAAAGAAAAATATTTCTTCTAAAATTATTAGTGAATGGAATACAATCAAATTGTAAGAAACAGCTACAGGGGATTAGCCCGGATCAATCATTCCCAAGGCCAATAAACTTGTTATCAATGTAAGAAGACCAATCATATAGCTAGGAATTGGCGATCACAGCTCTTTGTGGGAAATAGGAAGTCGATTATCTTTTGGGTTTGACACCAAAAGGAAAAGGACCAGAACAATGGCAACCAACGAATATTGATCGAACTGCCTTTCAAAAAAAAACACTCCGTAGCTGTCTGATCTCGAAGATGATTATTTGTTGTCAAAAAATTTTTTTTGGTGGCTCGAGAAATTCTATCATCATCATGTGGAAAAGTTCCTTGTGTTGATAAATCTTTGTAATGGTGAAATCAAATCTAAAGGTTGGGCTGATGGGGGCACTCGTTTAATTTATGGAATTTGGAAGGAATATATTTTTACATAGCTGGAACTACTACTGTGACAAGCTTTTATGTACACGAGAAAGACTTTTGTTAAGATGACTATTTAGGTATTTTTATATTATTTATGAACATTGTGTTCCATGTCAAAATAAAAAAAAATCATCAACAAACGAATAATTTTTTTTACATCAAATGGATTTTTAAATAATTGTCAACCAAATGAGTTTTCTGGGTTTTAGAATCTTTGAAGCCGTCTGTTCAATAAATTAAATGCTATATTAGCAACACCACGTATGATAGATCCTTTTACCAGTTTATTAATTAGTCACTACACCAAATCTACATTTTAACGATGTTTACAAATTAATAGGTGGAGGTTGAACTGTTTCCAATAACTTAAGAAATAAATTACTATCAGGCAGTTGTTCTTCTTTTATCCAATTCTTAACATGTAATATGCTAGACTTTGTAAAATATTTGGATTACGTGTGGCAATTATAATATTAAGAGCATGGCTACATTTGATTGTTGGTACATCTTTTACTTTATAAAGAAACTCATGAACATAGTTGGTAGCTCTTATACTCGAATTACCATCTAAACAATGACCAATATTTTCAGGAAATGGTGTTGTTGCTGAGTAATATTCACTAAGTAAATAAAAATAAGGCCTGATATTTTAACATCATTGCATATTTGCACCAGTGAATTGTTTCAAGTCAAAGATTGTTAGATTTATCAATATTTGATTTTCATAATTAAACCATTCCAGCCAGAAAAATAAAAGATTGTGACAATTGTGATTATAATATCATCATCATTCTAATAATTTTTATTTGACATTTTTCAGCTGGGAGAGTAAAATTAATTTGAGACACACCTATTTACTTTCAAATCATCAGTTTATAATAAAAGAATCCTTTCAATAGGATTTTCAATAATTTCTGATTTACATGATCATAAACGTGATCATGATTATAATTACAATTTATATACAACGCTTTGTTTTGGTGAAACAGCAAAATCCTTTTCTTCAACGAAATAACCAACTTTATTATATATTAAATTAATTGTTTTTCTATTCTTTAGTAATTATTAAGTCTTTCATATCTTCACTAGGTAATATATCAAGATTTTTTTCATTTGCTAAATGTAACACGCAAATAAAACAGAATTGTACTGAAATATCTCTCAGAGCCTTTTCTTTATAAAAGCCTTGTAAATTTTGAACAACATCAGAGAGTTTTTGTTCTTTGACAACAGGTAAAGTTTCATTTTCCTCGATATTATCACAAACATTTGGTTCATTTTCTGATGCCTATCAAATCAAAAAGAAAAAAAATTTAATAAGATTCCATAAAATTCAAAATAATATTGATGATTATTTACATTTAGTGAATTTCTAGAATGTATTAAAGTTTTCCATATATTCTCCTTGAGTTTTTTAACATCAACTCTTTTTGCTTTTTTTGAATATTTGACAAATTCAGGCTTAATTATTTTTGGCTGTGATACAAGGTTTTCACCATAATCTAACTCGTCGTCAGTTCCATCGTAATCATCATTGAAAAATGTGCCACCCCCTTCATTAAATTTTGATAATAAGATTATATTATTATATTATTACTATTGTTTATCTATGTTATTATTGACAACATTATTAAAAACATTACCCAAATCATTTGTTTCTGGTAGATCTCCATTAGTATGTTCTGCCCAAAAATTTTCATCGACTTCAATATTTTCATCTGATAAATAAAAAAAATAAAAAAAAATTATACTTTTTTTCTTTGATCACAAATAATTTACGTTTGTAATCTTGACACTTAAAAAAAACTTACTTTCAAAATCTTTTTCCTCGCTTTTATTATTTGTCCCCGGCTAATAATAAATTAATATCAATATCAATATTAATTAATTAATAAAGAACAACTATAATAATAATAATAATAATAATAATGACTACAGAAAAACTAACCGTAGGCTGTGGTTTAAGAAACAATTTTAATAGTTGTTTTGATGAAAAATGCATATCATCAGGAAGAATGTTTCGGTGCGGCAGCCTTTCAGCTAATTTAGGGTCAATGATTGTATTTTTACCAGCGACAAATATATTACTTGTATCAATGTCATCAGACTCAATAAAGTCAATTAAAAACGGATCTTTTTTCTTCTTTTCTCCCTTAGTTTCACCATTTTCATCTTCAGGTTTTTCTTTAAAAAAATTATATGCCAAATTAATAAAAATGTTGTAGGTTAATAACACTAATCGGAGATTATTACTCACTTTTTGCAGCTCTTTTTAATTTCCAATGCTCAGGACCAGCCCAATTCCGTAAAAAAGCAGAATCAAAATAAGAAAATAATTCATTCTCATTATTAGACATTGCCATCAGATAATCTCTTTCAGAAAGTTGTTGTTGATGCTCAGATCGTTCATCATCAACTTCGAAACTTTGATCCAGGAAAATATCATCTTCACCATCATCCCCACCACCATTATCCATAAACAATTCTGAACCATTTCCACCTGCTGCTGAAAAATTACTACCGCTACCGCTACCTCTACCACTACCATCACCGCTACCATCACCGCTACCATCACCGCTGCCATCTATATCAAAACTATAATGATTTTCAACAAAATCGAATCTACTATCAATACAATCATCGTCGTCGTCACCGTCATCGCCTATTTTTCGTAAAAAGAAATCAAAGTCTACTTCACTATTTCCAAAAAAATTGAAGCCCTTTAACACTGGGCATATATCCTTGCTGAATATGCTTTCAAGATCTGGAAGAAATGTTGCTATGAAATAATCGCATAAAGATATTATTATTAATTAATTATATAGAATAACACATAAATATAACAGCATCAATAATAATAAAATCAATCAATCTACTCCGTAATTTTGTTAAATCCATAAGTTGAATTGAATTATCTTCTATATTATTATCATCTTCCATCTTGTGAACTGGTATAGCATCACTTGCGTCAAATATAATTTTGACATCGCTGTCAACTGACAAGTGATTCAATAATAATCCTTGAGCACCACCTTCATCAAAATCAGCAGAAGTTTTTTTGAAAAGAGGATCAACAGTAAATTCTAAATCGAATTTTTTTAATATTAATTGATCATATGATGTAACTAATGTTGATTCACTTCTATTCCTCTATCAAATTATATTATATACATATATATATGTGTAAGAATTTGTGTTTATAAATGAATAAGAGAAAAAGAAATTTTATTTTTGACTGTACATACTTTTTTCTTGGTACGTTTTTCTGGATCTGCTTCATCTTCATCTTCATCATCTTGAAGATTCAAATCATTCTCTTTAATGGATTATTTATAAATAAATAAAAAGTCTTGTTTATAAATATGTATATATATATATATATATATCGAATAATCAATTATTAATGAATCACACGTACTACTACTATCTGCCAATCCATTTAAAAGTTTTCCTGTTTCAGTAGCTACAGAATCAACTCTAGAAGTATAAATTTTCACACATCCATCCAAGGTACATGACGCTTTCTGGAAATTTATAGAATCTCCATCTTTTAATAAACTCATTTCATGAAAATAGTCTATCAAAGCAAGCTTCCAACTATTTTGTGCATTTATTTTCTAATTTTATCATATTATTTTATTAATAAATTAAATAAAATGAGTATAAAAGATATTATTTGTGTATAAATGAATTGTTTATACGTTATCAGTAACCAACTTCATCCATTCCTCGTAATTTATAGACATTTGTTCAGCTGGTATTTTTGGTATAGGTGTTATAATTTCTAATGGTCTTGGTGGATTTAATGGTGTATTAAAGGAGTTCCTCTCTGTTGATAATATTGGAGGTGATCCAATAACAGCCATATTTCCGGACCTTCTACGCATTGATTCTGCAAAAGACTTTCTACGAAGACTTTTTTCTGCCTCATCATCATTTATTGTATTCAAACTGCTTCTTGTGGGAGTGTTATTATATGAGTGTCGACGTTTTGGGGAATTATTGACAATACTAGAGGGCATTTTGAAAAGTTTATAAAATATCAAAATTATTATTATTATTATTATGTTGTTTTTTAAAAAAAATATATATATAAAAATTGTACGTGTTTAAATTCGTGTTCAATAACATTTTGCAGATCTTAACATATAAAGAGCTTACCAAAAAAAAAATTTTTTTTCACACAAATTTTATTATTGTCTAAGTATTATTACTATTACTATTACTATTATTTATTTATTACAATTACATTATTTATATATAATCAATCAATTAATTATCTCTTTTAAACCAAAAAAAATCGGGGTTTTTTTTTTCAAAAAAATTATAAACAAATTTATAGTTTGTTTCATTTAGATTTTTTAATAATATCTAAAACTTGAAATACTTCGAAATCATCAATTGTAAAATTATGAAAACCAACAATTTCTCTTTCGTAGTCACGTCTATGACAAGTACCCTCAAGTATGTGTAGATCGCCACAACCCCAGCCCAAGAAATGTCTGCTTCTTGTATCGCGTATCGCACATGAAATATTTCTTACACGACTGATTACAGAATTTTTATTTTCTTTATTAAATGAGAAAATAAAACTTTCTGCAGTCTGTCTCCAATCGTCAGCAGAAGTCCAACCAAGTGGATTGTAGCCGCCAACAATGAATTTTGAATTTTGAATGCTCGCAACAATAATATTTGCACCTTTATTATCACACTTTTTGTGAAATTCATCCTCGGAAAATCCATTTTTGCTAGCACGTAATAACAATTTAAAATTTAAAGGTATTTCATGCGATTTATAATTTTCTTTTGATTTATTATAAATCCAATTTGCTATTAAAGAAGCATGTTGATTTGTGATGATGAGTGAATCAGGTCTTAAACCCATTCTAGGAGGTAATATGACTGTGTGTTTAGGTTGTTCGTTTGGCAAAATATGATACAGTTGCAGGTCTTCTTTTAGAGTACGTGGTAACAATTTTTTATAAGGTCTGACTTTATAGTAGTAGTCGGCAGCTGATATTTGAAAAAATCTGATCAAAGGTATACAATTTTTTATAGATTTTTCCATATCAATGAAATCTTGTTGAGACCAATTTATTACATTGGTATCGATCATTTGATTTTTCACGATTCCCCATCTGATAACACATTCCCAAATATCAATTTCATCCATCACGAGATCATCACGTTGTAATAAAGCTAGCAAAGAAGGCTCTTCCAACGAGGCAAAATCATCGGATTTAAACACAACGGAAGGATCATTGCAAACCAAATCAGCACAATAGGTTTGTAGCTTATGCATCGAATCATAGGTTGAAATTTTTTGAAATAATTGAACAAAATTTTCCAACATCCAAGGTTTCTCGTTTTGAATCATGTATTCTTGAATATATTCCACTAATTCAATCAAAGCTAGTTCATTGGCTGCTTTGACCAAATCAAAATAGTCATGTTTATCTTCGATGTTTAACTCGATTGAACCCGTGTACATATATCTGGTAAGATGTTAATATAAAGAAATAATACATTCATAAATAAATAAATAATTTAAATTATTATTATATATAATGATAATGATAATTATAGATGGTAATGGTAATAATGGTAATAATGGTAATAAATATCCTTTTCTTGAACTTACTTTAAGATTAGCCTAAACGAATTAGGGGTGATATCTGGTTTACTAAACTTAATTTCATCATTATCCCTTTTTTTTGCCCAATTAGTTGATAAAGCAGCATTAAAAAAAGAAGACCTACTTCTTAAAATAAAAGAATGGGCTTTAAATGCCAGCTTATCAGGTTCTTCACCAACAACAATAATTACATCATGATCATCAGCATCTTCATAACGTTTACTAATATCCCTTACAAAAGCATCGGACAACAATAAATCTGACATAATTTTTTATTTTATTTGTATATTATAAAAAACGAATTATTTTTATATATTAAAAGAAGAAAAGGAAAAAAAATTTTTTTTTTATTTTTATAAAAAAACTTTGATTTTAATCAAAATCAATAATCAAATCAATTGAATAATATATAATAATAATAATACTTATTTATCATCATATTATATTTATATAGAAATTCATGGATACAATTTATTGGATGTTGTGTGTATGTATGTTTGGAGGAGAGGCATAAACACAACATAATTTATGCATAGAAATACATAAAACTAATAAAAAAAAAATGCATATGCACACACACATATATATATATGTATTTATTGGTACGAAATAATTGGATGAAAATGATTATGTACATGCATTAGGTGCATTTTTATTCATTACCACTTGTACTTTTTTACACCACATTTACATAAAAATAATAAATAATATAATAATACATAATCTATTATATAACACATAATCTAAACTTATGAAATATGTATGATGATTTAAGTTATTTTTCAATTATTTGAAATACTTCATAATCTAATAAATTAAAATTAATTGCATCAATGATTCCTCTTTCATAATCTCTCATATAACAAGTACGAGTAAAAATATTCAAATCTTCACCAAATCCAACTAAATCAAATTGGGGACCACAATCTCTAATTGCTTGTTCAGAATTCACAACTCTGCTCAAAACCTTCCTCATATTATCATCAAATGAAAATATAAAACTATCATTTGTCGATAACCATTCACCTGAACTTGACCATGCGATCGGATTGTAGCCTCCTATTATTGATTTATTTGTTCCAGTGATTTTCAACACGACTAGTGTTGAACCTTTATTATCACATTTCTCACGAAATACGTCTCTACTCAAGCCATCACGACTTCCACGAACAAGTAATTGAAATTCTCGATTTATATTATTGTAGCTATTATTATAAAATTCAAATATATTATCGTCACCGTCATCATTGTCATTGCTGTTATTACCATCATCATTAATATTATTATTCTCATTAATTACTTCTGATTCTATCCTGTCAATCCAATTAGAAATGATTGATAAATGATAAGGCTTGATGATTAGTGAATCGAGAGATTTTGTTGGTTTTGACCTCGGTTTTGAAATTTTGTCAATGTTTGATTCGCTGCCAGGAACTAAATGAAACATTTTCAAGTCTTCTTTGAGTTTTGTAGGCAACAATCTTTTATAAGGTCTCACTTTATAATAATAATTGGCTGATGAGATTTGAAAGAACCTTATGTGAGGCAGACACTCTTTGATAGATTGTTTGATATTTGTCACATCTTCATCTGACCATTCATTGACATCAGAACTTATATCAGGATTTTTTGATAATACCCATTTAATAACATAATTCCAAATTTCAATCTCTTTCAAATCCAAATCATCTCTTTTCAACAAAGATACCAACGATGACTCTTCTAACAATTTAAAATCTTGTGATTGAAAAATCAACGAAGCATCTTCACAAATTGTCTCTTCACAGTAGGCTCGTAGTTTATGCCATGATTTGTGTTTAAGGGTAGTCTGAAGCACACGTACCAAATTAAGTTTCAACCATTCTATTTCATTATGAATAATATAATCTTGAATATAATCCACCAAATCGCTAAGCACCAATTCCTCAGCCACAATAAGCAAATCCAATAAATCTTGTGGTGCTTCTTTAACATCTAAATTTATCTTACCAGTATAAATATATCTAAAAGAAAGTAGTGATAAAAAAAAAATTAAGAAAAAAGGAGAGGTAATTTTGGGGACTTTTTTTTTTAGTGTGTGTGTGTGTGTATGCGTTTCGTGAAAATTACCTTAAAATATCTTTAAAAATTTTAGGAGAAATATTAGATTTTTTATAAACAATTACGTCAATGTTTTTACTATTATTATAATCGTCATCATCGTCATCATCGTCATCGTCATCGTTATCATAATTATCATCGTCAATATTATTTTTTAACGATTTTTTTATTGATAAAAATTTTCTGAAAAAAGAAGATCTGGCTCTTAAAATTACTGAATGAGCATGAAATATTTGAATATTTGGTTCTTCACCAATTTGAATCGAAACATCATAACCATCTGAATCGTCATAAAGTTGACCGATATCTCTTAATAATGCAAATGATAAATCTGATGACTGTTCCTTTGACATTTTATATATAAGATATTTCTTTTGGAATAAATTTTTTATTTCAATTTATATATATATATATATATATTTAAAAAAAAAATTTTTTTACAAGTAGTTTTGTAACACAAAAATATTAACTAACTCTTATTGAATTGAAAAGCTCTTTCCCAAAAGTTACAAATATATAACACATTTGCAATTTTATAACTTTTTAATACATTGTGTGTCATTATGACTGCTGCTATTATGTCTATATATATACATATATAGATATATATGTAGAGAGAGTGCGGAGAATATCCATTGTTAAAAAAAAAAAAAATCTTTTTTCCCCAAAATGTATAAAATTAAAAAATTTCAGCTTATGTATTAATTATCACCAATATTACCAATTATCACCATTATAAACCGCTTATAAACCATTATAAAATTGCTTATTTTACACATGATAGCATTTTTATGGAAATATTATAAGCAAAAGTTGTAACATTATGCGAGCAACTTTTATTTTGGTTCACGCGCGTACAACTTGCGCTAACCTACTACCAAAAACTAAAAACTCTTTGACCCTCCTTAACCTTGTCTTTCAAATTAATCCTAATTTGATTAATTTATTTTATTAGGCTCGTCTCGTTAAAAATCATTCATGGCATTAGAAATCTCATTATAGTGAATATTTTTTTTTTCGTAACCCTCTATAGTGATATGGAATGATCAACGTTCTCGGTCAATAGCGTGTATGTATGGGAAAGGGTAATGACGCAGTAATTCAATCTATTAATATTAATTAAATAGAGATTAGTTCGGTATAAGCCACTCATCCGTAAACAAATAATTAATATATGTATGTAACACAAGTTTGAGAGAGTCAATGAGTCAATGAGTCAATGGGTGTGGCACATTTAGCGATTAAAAATTATATATTAAAATAGCAATTGCAATGCCATGGTTTAGTAATTGGCAATCTCTAGATGAACAATATAAATAAATAACATAAATAAATAACATAAATAAATAATATAATAATAGCAAAGTGAGAATGCACATTAAAAAGAAAGAGCGGAAGAGGAAGGAGGATCTTATCAATCATCGGTGTGCAAGCTAACACAAAAAAACATTAATTCTCCGATATCTTAATCCATCTAAAATTTTATTAAAAAAAAACATCTAGAAAAAAAGAATGCGAAGAAAAGGGGACAAAAGGGAACAAAAGGGGACAAAAAGGGGAGATAATGGAGATGACAAAAGGGGAAAGGAGGACAAGAAGCGATTAAATGAGTAAACATTTAATTTCTATTTTATAAACAAATAAACAATTACAAATAAATAAACATTAAATAACCAATAAAAAGAGAAATATCTATTTCTAGCAACTTCTTTTGAACCTTCTATTTTCAAACTGATAAGATAAAAAAATCTACGTTTTCTCTCTCACCACTCAACTGCTTCCTTCCCATCCACCATTACCTTGTTTTATTGTTGTTTATTGTTTATCCCATTGCTGATAAGATTAAAATTCCTAAATATGGGAAACCAAATAAATTACTATTCTTTAAATTTATTCTTTATAAAATTTATAAATGTTATAAATGTTTACTGATAAGATAAAAGATTTTTCTAAATCCAGAAAACTCAATTTACTAAGCTATTTATTCTTTTGTGTAAATGTTTATAATGTGTGACTGACTATATTTAAACATTCATTGCTATCTTGCTTGCCATTCGTCAATAAATATAAAATATAAATATTAGTAATAATTACAAACTCACTTGCCACCTGCTTACAAATTAAAAAATCCTAATTCAGCCAAATTGTGGCAATTTTGTCAAAAAAGGATCCCATGACGATTTTATTTATTTTCTGATTAATAATTATTTCATTAAATGTCCGCCTCCGTACTATTCGATCACATGATTCATATACTACAACAAACTTGACAACATATGTTGTCATAAAACTTTCCAGATCCCTTTGTGTCCATTACATCAAGCAAAAAAAATATTAAGCATCTGACTAACGCTGAAACTAGCAATAATTAATGTATAGCACAATTGGTGAAACAATTAGTGAAAAAGATAGAAACAAAAAGAATAAAATAAATGGCTCCCCTAATAATAATAGTGAACCATCGCCCATCACCTGTTATTAAGGAAATATCGATCGCCAAGAAATATTCTTAGCATCAGGATAGTTTCTAAATGTCAATTTAATTTGCCAAGTTGGATAATTTTAGCTGACAAATAAAATTAAATAAGTTAATTTATTTTTTGGTCAGCTGAATGCTATGATATTTTTGCAAAAAAAAAAATGACTTTTTTGTTTATTTGTTAAATTTTACTATTATTATTATTAGTAATCTTTGTGTTATGGTTGTCTTTGGTTGCCTTCCCGCACCATCTATTATTATTATATTTTTTTTATTTTAGGGTAAATATTGATACCATGTGTCGCTCCATGTGCAATGTTTGACGCTAACACTAATAAATAAATATTACTAAAAAATAAAAAAATAATAATAATTATTTCATCATACTTTTGCTTTTTTTTTAATCAACAATTAATTGACTTAATCAGTCAATTTCGGTAAAACTTTCGCCGAGAATTTATTTGTCCAGATTAATAAATATTACGGTGCGTTTGATTGTGAAAATATTATAAATTAATAAATGATGTCAATGATTTCAAAGAATCTAAAATTAGAAAAAATTTAAAATACCAACTTATTCCCAATTTATCATTTTTAACACCGAATTTAAAAAATTGGGGCTTATGTTAAAACTTTTATATTAATTATATATATATATAATTGATAGACTTGGCATTTATTATTTATTTTATATATATATATATATATATATATTATTCATTACATAAATTGTTAAAATAAAAATTCGCATAAATATCAAATAAATTTCTTGTCTTGAATTTTCAAAAATCAAATTAAAAAATTTAATTATTTAAATAAATTAAAAAAAATTTTTTTTTCTAAACAAAAAAAACGAACAAACAAATTTTTTTATTTTATATTCCTTTTTAACTTTTAAACACTAAATAACAAATTAAAATTTTTTTCTTTTAAAAAATTAAAAATGAGTGAAAATATTTCTGCTATTTCTGAAATCTCTTCTATTTCTTCCTCTGCTGCCACCACCGCATCTTCTTCACCCAATATTCTTGAATCTGATCAAACAGTCAACAACGACAATAAAAATAAAAACAACAATCATCATCATAATGTTGATTCACTTCCTCAAATTAAACTTCCATTTCCACCAGTGATTGATCCATCAGACTTGATTCATCCTAGCAAACCAGTTACAAGTATTTCTGCATTCGACGAACCTCATAAACCATCACGTGCACCAAATGCATTCATCATTTATCGTAAAGCTTTTGTTAAGGCGGCTAGAGATGAAGGCCATTGTCTACCAATGACCGTGATTTCTTCAATGGCTTCTGCAGCCTGGGAAAAAGAGTCTGAGGAAGTTAAGACAGAGTATAAACGTATTTCAAAAGAAGCTCATTTGAAAAAGAAGGCAATGTATCCAAAAGAAAGAAGAAGAAGAAGAAAAGAAAGATGGAATGTTGTATCATTTCAACAACCCAATATTATTAAACATCATGAAAATAATGAAGATCTCAATCTATATAACCACAACAACAACAACAACAACAACAACAACAACAACAATAATGGTATTCCTACTGCTAACGCTACCATTAACGGTAATCTTGGTAATGATTACTATCTCTCACCAGAATTATCAGCTAATTTTACTAACCAACTTACAAATCAATTGATTGATTTATTTTCAACACCTGACATTTCAATGTTTGAGAATTATGAAAATAATAATCAATCTTGTACGTATATCAATAATAATAATAATACTGTGATGGCGGTTAATGAATATAATAATGCATTTTTAGTAAATTCTTTACTTAACGACACTACAAATAATAATTGTAGTAATAATAATAATAATGATTTATTTCAATTAGAACAACAACAACAACAACAACAACAACAACAACGACAATCTGGCGACTTTTCATTTTTAAATTTATTGAATGCAGCAAATACTCCTGAATTATCATCATCTGATGATAATTATTCAAACATCTCTTCTCCATATTTATCAAATGACGACGACTCAATTATAATAAACAACAATAACAATAAATATTTATTATCTGATATATCTGATGATAATCTCTTCAATTTTAACAATTTTACAGATGATTTATTATTAAATCATATTAAATCATCACCATCTATATCATCATCATCATCATCACCGCTATTATCGATCGACGATAACAACAACAACAACAACACATCTCCGTTATTACCTTCTTTTTTTGATAATGTGCCAGAATTTAATTACGGTTTATTATATTAAGATTTTTTTTTTTTTTAAAATTATGAAAAAAAAATTTTAAGATTTAAGATTATAATAATAATAATAATAATAATAATATAATAGTAATAATAATAACATATAGTTTTGTGTGTATATAGATGGAAAGTGCATTATTTCCTAAAAAATCTTCTTTATGATTAAGTTTTCAATTTTTTTTCCCGCTAATTTAGCTTAGTATTGGTTTTTTGTAGAAATATTATATAGTATTAAAAAAACATATAGAATTTATTAAATTAGAAATAATTATTTGTATATAATCATTTTAAAAAAAATATATATGTAATAAAAAAAAAATTTTTAAAATCCATCTTTGAAAATGTTCCATTTTAATGCAACTACGCCTTCGATTATAATGTGTAATTGATTGCTATATGTCATCCATTAAAGATTTCTTCTGCATGTTTGCCCTTGTGCGACAATATATAAACATTATAATTATCTGATGAAATAGTAGTAATCATACAAATAAATAAGCAATAATAAATAAATAAATATTTAAGAGGATTTAAATTTAAATGATGTTCGATTGCTTTGTGACATCATCAATTTTATAATTACTATTAGCTCAAAAGACACAAATCCCACGCCCAAATTCCATCCCGGGCCTTGTCAGGTAAACCCCTAATTTCGTGACGATCGATCGATCGATTTGACTAAAATTTGATACAAACTAACTTGTTAGGGTTTCGTCACCCAAGACTGATAAAATAAATAATTTTTCTATACTTTTCATATGAAAATTTTTGTTCTTGATAAAAAAATAGGAAAAGTATACCAGAACACACCAAATTAGACATGTTTTGCTAATAAAAAAGATTAGCCATTAAAATAAATTGAAATTTCGAGATTTTAACCTGGTTTTTTTTTATAACGAACGAATTTATATAATAAACCTTATTGATTGTTATAAAAAAATCATTCGAGAAAAAAATACACAGTAAAAAAAATCTTCTAGTAAATTGTATAATAAAAAATAATGAATACCTGTGAATGAATATTTTAAATGATGAATAGATAAAACAAACCATTCTAAATACAGAATTTAATTAATAATTTTTACCAGTGGAATCTTTATTTATTTCAATAGAAGTAGATATTGATATGCAATAAACAGTCTCATCGCATTATTCATTAAGGAAAAATTAATTATTAAATATTCTAAAAAGAAAACCAACATTATTTTTTATTTATAGTATTTACAAATTTTTTATCTGGTCCGCCCGCACATTACACAGATAGGTCATACGCGAAATCGTGCATAAAGTTTGTATTTCCCAAAAACTCGAAACTATTAATGTTGATCAAATGTTATTATTATGACCGACTCTCTTTAATAGTAAAAATGTGCGGGTCTGGGCCCCTAAATGTACTAGAAGCCTTTCTTTGTACAGATAAACATGTATTAGCATGTTCACTTGGTTGCGCCAGATCAGTTATGATTAATTTGTGCTACAGGATTTTTCATTGGATGAGATTACGTGTCATTCCATTTCAATGTGTTATTTATTTTTTTAAGCGATTTTACGTGTAAAAAAACAACCCAAAAAAAATTTTTTCTTTAGGGAAAGGAAATGTTTCGTCGACTATCGAATGTTTCAAATGTTGCGTCAACTAACGTTCTAAAAGGTGGAGTTGGTGGTAATAGTAGTGGTGTTTACTATATTGGAAATTTGTTTGGTAATAATGGTTGTGTTTATGGAAGAGGATTATTTGGTGCTGTAGCAAATTTACTCGTTGGTCAAACAAAATTAATGACAACAAAGAACAACAGCAATAACAACTCAACAGTACTTGTTAACAGTCGTGCTTTTAGTATCAGTCTTTTAAAAAAAAACGTTAGCTCTACTTCGCCTATCTTTTATCCTTCTGCTGTTGCTAAACCTGTAAAGAAAAAGGCAGCCGCTGCTACTAGCGGTAAGAAAAAAACAACAACTGCTGGCAATAAAGCTAAAGCTAAACCTAAAACTCAAACTAAAGCTAAAACTAAAGCTAAGGCTAAGGCTAAAGTCAAGAAAACTAGTGCTAAAAAACCCATAAAAAAGGCGACTATAAAGAAGAAAGTAGCTGCAAAGAAGGCAGCAGTACCTGTTAAAAAAGGTTATTTATATTTTTTTGAAGTGTAAAATAAATTAAAAAAATAATGATATTGATTAATTGATTGATTGGATCGGATCAACTAGCAGCACTTCCCAAAATTACAAAACCGGAACCTAAAAGACCAAATACGCCATATTCTATATTCTTTAATGAAGAATACAAGATGGAAATAGAGAAAGATCCTACCCTTAAGGTGCCAAGAATTGGTAAAATTTTAGGTGAAAAATGGAGAAATTTACCCGATGATATGAAAGAGGTAAGTAATAGTTTCTTGTGTATAATGAATATGATTATATAATTATAATTATTTGAGATGACAATCATCATCGTATAACAAAACAGAGTTATAAAGCGAGATATCTTCAAGAAAGAGAAGAGTATAAGAAGAATTATGAGAAATGGTATAATTCTTTGACAGTAGATGATATTAAACTTGAGAATAAACATCGTAAATTGAGAAAGAGACGAGGAAAAAAACTTTTGAAAATTCCAAATATGCCCAAAAGACCAACCAGTCCTTATATTTATTTCGTTGTAAAAAATATGGATGTAAATGATGGTGAAAAGTCTACAGTTCGTGTGTCCAAACTTGCAGAAAAATGGAGAAATTTATTGGATAAAGAAAAGAAGGTAATTTCTAATTGATTGATTACTTGATTTATGATTGATTGGTCGTATTAATGTATTTTTATTATAATGATTTTTTTCCTTTCCTGATATAATATTATCATTAGATCTACCAAGATTTAAGTGAAAAGGATAAAAAGAGATATTTAGACGAGATGGTAGAATTCGAGAAAAAACAAGTGGTGGCTTGAAAAAGAAAAAGTTTTTTAAATAATAATAAATAAAAATTTATAATAAAAGTAATTATTAATAATAATAATAATAATAATAATAATAATAAAGATTGCAGAAGTTGAGAAAAAACAAGTGGTGGTTTGTTTTGATGAATTGATGAAGATGACAATAAAAAAAGAAATTAATAATTGTTATAAAGTGGTGGGGCGTTCTTTTGCCTTTTTTATCTTTATATTTATTTTTCGTAATAATTGGTTGCCAGAATTGACTGCGGCTCAACCTTTTGACATAAAATGAATGATAAACAAGTTTTTACTAATATATCTATATGGAATGTTCTTATTCTTTGGATTACTTTTGCCGTAATGATGACGAGATGGTTCATTTTTGTTGTTGACATTGGTCTCTTATTAATATCTTTATTTAGTACTGTAAATGATGTCGTTATTAAATAATTAATTAAATATTCCTAAAAACATATGAATATTGGATGATTCAATCTAACCTAATTAAAAATTATAAAGCTCATTGGAATTAAAGTTAGGTAAAGAAAGGGAAAGTTGTACAAAATAGAATATTATCTTACCTCGTCCGGAGAAATTTAACCGAGAAATTTTTGTCGGAATTTGTCCTAAATAGGGTTTATCTTATTCCTCCGTGGCCAAAAGAAATAGCAACAGTAAATAGGATAAAACTTACCGGAAAATATTCGCATTAGGTGCATAATAACAATAAATGATTGCTGTTGCATTTATTACTATCATTATCATCATCATCATCATCGTCATCATCATTATCATCATCATTGTCATCATCATTATCGTCATCATCATTATCGTCATCAATTAAATTAGTCATCGATTAAATTAGTCATCAATTAAATTAGTCAAATATTATCACTAGACACAGAATCACTGTCATCGCAAGATTCGATAACAAATCTATGTCTTCTCATGATCCTGTAATATTTACATCATTCAATGGTGTTATCGTTTAATAAATTAAAAATTCATCATAGTGTTCTGTTGAAACAAAACAAATTTCTATACATACATGGTATATATCTAAAAGGAGTTGCAAACCATTGATTAGCCAATCAAAAATTCCGGCACTCAGCGACAAGCTAATTCTTATTAGGATTGGTTGATTATAAAAAAGTCATTATTGTTCAATGAATTTTCATTATTAAAAAATCACAATTGTGCTATATACCAAATATAATTATCCATTCTAATTTACTATATTTTCTATGGAACTCAAAGAATCAAAAGTATTTTAGGGTGAAAAGATAGCACCCCATGCATGTTTCTAGATTAACCACGAACAACAAATACAGGATGCAGAACAATTAATAAAAAATGGAAATCTTTGGAAGAAGAAACATAACACGTGATGGTCCTTATAATTGTAAAATCCGTTTTTTTCTTTTAGTTTTTTGAGGAATATAATAATAGCTTATAATAGGATACTAAAGTTGTGCAACCACCAAAATTAGATCAACTTTTTCATACGTGTGTGTTTTGAGATATGGCCTTTATATCCTGCTTCTATTATGGAAAAGTCCTTATTTTTATAAGTATTTGGGGGTTTGGATGCAACGATTATAAATGTAATTTTTCAACAGACTCGGAATTTATTTCTGGCTGAGGTAAGCAATTATCATCAATGTAAGTGACGATTTTCTTTAATCCATTTCTTAGTATTTGGGAACATACGTGTTATTGATTTTGCAATTCTAAAATTCCAAATTTTGTTTGTGGAAATAAACAAGGTTTTGATTTTCTCTTTTTGATCCACCTCTTTTGGTGCCACCAGTGGCGGCATTCGTTTTAAAGTGGCGGAGACAGTTTGAATCATTTTGATTTGTTCAATAATGCACCCTATGGGTTTTGGACGGGTAATATGGGGCATACTGCAACAAAACCAGACAAAGTGAACATTGGTGTTACCAAGAATTTCAGGGATCAAATTTTAGTCATTTGTAATGTGATTATAATATCAGTTTTATAATATCCATTTGTGATATATAGAATTACCCCTATATAAAAATAGTTAATATGAAACTCATTTACATCAGATCTACTATGGAACCCAAGAATTATAGTACTATCAGAAGTATTTTGAAGAAAGAACAAGGTGAAAAAATTGCTCCTTATATTTTCAAAATAAATGATACTCAAACACTTGAAGCTTGTCTAAGGAAAGAAAAGATCACCTATGAAATTTATCAAGAAGAAAGAAAAATCATAGCTAATAAAAGAACCAACATAAAGCCACAATGAATCTAGCCTAGAAAGAAGTGAAAATCAGAAGAAAAATAATTTTACTATATACCTAACTCAGGTTAATTATCAGTATGGTGAACATGTATATATTAACACATCATAAAGAACAGTTGTTGTTTCCATATAATAACAATATTATTTATTAATAAATCAGCAATTTTTATTTAATAAAATATATTTATATAAATGAAATATTTTTTCTTTAAATTTCCAATAATTTTTAACATTTTCCAAATATATTAATTACTCCATGCAAAAATTACTTACTTCATTTCGAGTAGCATAATAATATAATAATAATATATTCTCCATGAAAATAATTTATTTAGCTAATTTAAAATGTTCATCAATTGTTGAGTAAGTGTATCCTCCATCGATTAATTGACTTATACATTCTCTAAATATAAAAATATCATTTATTAATGTGCATATTGATAAATAATGAGCAAATTAAATGTTATGATTACATTTATAAAGAAGCTTACTTGATTTGGTCATGGTTATAATTTACATCAGCTATTTCTCCTATATTGGAACCATTATCTCTATCATTATTATTAATATAACTAATAATTTGATTATATATATACATTTGGTAATTTTTTCCAACATATGTATTTTTTCAATTCTTTATCTTCAGTTTCATTTTCATCACATAGTCGGCAAATCTCCTTATATGGATGTGGTATGGGTGTAATATAATCAATGTATGTTTTGATTTCAATGATCATCCACTCACACAAGTTAATGGATATAAAATACCCATTATAAAATCGTTCTTCCTCATTGATAACATATCCATAACTGACTAAAAACTTTCTCCAAATACTACTATCATTGTCAATGAGATTTTTCCATAATTTACTCACCTGGATTAATTTACAGACACTTTGTATGTCCAAATAACTTATGATGAGCAAGATCAGCTCATCTGGAAAAGTATGTCCTTTAAAAATTTGATCATCTTTTTTTCTTTTTGTTCATTTTGGTGGCATTTATTTTTTAAAAAAAAACATTAATTTATCTACATAACTAGAATGGTAACAAGTTTCAATAAGTGGCAACCACCATTCTTATGATAAACACTTAGATGTTTTCTTTGCCATGGGCATTTATTTGCTTTCTTTTCTTTTTTTGAATCTTGTCGTCTGGCATATTTTTAGTTTAAGAAAAAAAAGGATTTGCTGATCAATCAACGAGTCTAATTATTTATGTATCAGTCACAGGACATGTCACGCAGATCAATAGTAATAGCAATATGAATTGATGTGACTAGGTGCAGGTCATCTATACTCATCAAAAATGTAGATCATTCCGAAATTTCAGATAACTATCAATGAATTTTTATTGGT